GAGAACTGCATCTTGTTCTCACCAGCATCAAGGACCGACTGAAAAAGGCTAAAAGTACGTCCTCTCGGTGACAGAACGACTTTGGGAATAGGCAAATGGATAGTAACTCCAGCTTAAACCTCATCACTGAGTAGAGGTCAGTAGAAAGCAGAGCAGTCAATGGGTCAGATGAGAAGTCTCATCAGTTCCTCCTCTAACGATACGGTATACATACGTACACGCTGCTCTGCCGCCGCTGCAAAGGGAACAGGGACAAAGGGGGAAAGCACCCGCTGGAATAACCTTCGCCGTGGCATGGAGAGCCTGACAGTGCCACTGGCAATGCTGCGGACGCAGGGCAACCAGTCCCGTCACGCTGGGGCTCTCCCGAGGCTTAAAGAAATAACAGAATAATTAAAAGGGGATTTTAGTACTGCTTGTTAAGAGAGCCCAGCCTGAGGCCCCAATTCCCAGAATGAACAGAGCAGCTACCGGCATCAGTGAGCGATCCACACCTATCCTCCTTTTCTCTCTGATGTGCTGACTAGGACTAGCATTCCTGTGTTTATTTTCTGGAACAGAAATGGGTCTTGAGTGAATGATGTGCTAAAGATTCCCTTATTCTCACAGATTTTACAAGAAAGCGCTTTTCCAGACAAATGTTTACATGCTCTTCCTTCCTTAGCTGCCTGTTCCCTGTCACGGTGGGGGGTGGATTTTATAGCCTATCGCTAGGTGATACAACATCCAAACCCCACACACGTTTAGAGAGCGGGCGGTTTGCAGTGCTGTGTAACTTTCTAGAAGTACTTCAACCTCCCTCCCTGGAAAGAGGCTTTGAGGAGCGACCGCTGCCTGCTGTAAGTTACCCACGCGATGCTTCACTTTCCTTGTCCTTGTTCACGTACGGATGGATTATCGCTAATGAAGCAAAGCGTGGGTGTTCGACAGCAAAACTCAGAGTGGATCCCACAGCACGTCCATCCATCCATGCAAGTCTGGACCCGTCCAAGAGAAGCCCGTACGTCTCTGTACGGTGAGAGGCTGGGGGAGGCTTATGGTCAGGCAGTACATTCTCCCTCTGGCACCAAATTCCTGATTTTTGTCTCGCAACTACCTAATATTTGGTTTCACTTCCTTTTCGTCCGCTTCATCGTCGCTGTCGTCAACTTGCTGAATGACCAAGTCGGTCGACTCGTCCTCCACGATCTCCACGTCCGATCTGTTGTCTTCCGCGTAGTGCCACCTGGAATCCTTATCCCCATCTTGTGGGAATTCAAGGGGTGCTTCGGCCTCCAAGTCAATGCGAATGCGGTCTATGCCAGCCTCCGCCAGGCACTCGTTACAGAGTCTGTAACGCCTCGTCCCCTCCTGCACCACCTGTCCCGTTAGCTCGGTCACGTGGCGCTTGCACTTCCTGCAGATGGGCTTACAGGCCTGATGAATCTGGGGAAACCGAAACGAAGACGTTTGAGAATCTATCCACAAATAGGTGGGTTTTAGGATGATAAAACGTGGGGCTGGAGTGGTGTCAAACCGTAGGGTTGTTGTGAGGGCAGCCATCAGACGGTAAAAATGAAACCGCCCGCTCCCGCCTCATGACAGGACTTGCGCAGAGCGCACCTCGATTAACGAAGGGATTCATCCCC